AGATGTAACACAGTTGAAGGGGCTGGTTCAGGCTGACATTCGTGCAACTGCAGAAAAACAGGGAAGGAAAGTTTGGATTCTTGTTAAATTGGAGGAACAGTATGAAGCTGCACTCTGAGAGGAGAAGGTGTCAGACAGGAACACACACACACACACACACACACACACAGACAGGTGCTTCGTCCGCCTGTTAGACAGTTGTGTGTTTCAGGATGATAGGACGGTCGGTTGATCAACCTTCCCTCATATCGTCTTACTCCCCTCCTTCCATTTCTCACTTTTTCTTTCCCTTCTTTCTTTCCTTCTTTTTTTTTAACCCATATTTCTTTATTTTCTGCCTCATCTGTTCTTCTTTTATCATTTCCCTCCTTCATTCTTTTCCCATGCTACATTTTTTGTCCGTCCACGCCTCCTTACATCTTCCTATTTCATACTTTTCTTCATCCATCCATCCATCCATGCATCTTTCAGACTCCATCCTAATCCTTTCCTTTTACTACCCGTCATTTTTCCTTTTATGCTTCATTTCTTTTCTTCTTCTCCCTCTTCATTCTCAGCGGTTTAACGTTGCTATTGACAACTCCATCTATCCATCGCGCTCCCATTTTCTTTCTGTCCATTTTCTTGATCCCTCCATCAGCAACAATACACGCTCTCCATCTTTATGGGTATCTATTGACCGAGTCCCTCTCTTCTTGTTGTTCTTTCTCTTCATCCCTCCCTCCCTCCCTCCCATACTCTCACTCTGATGGCTTTCCCATCATATGAGGCGACTGACAAGAGACGTCGCACCTTCGTCTCCTCATCCTGCCATCCATCTTTCTTTTCTTCTCTTTCTCTCTCCCAGTGTGTGTGTGTGTGTGTGTGTGTGCGGTCCCCATGCACTGCGGTGACTGCAGCCAATCCCATTAGCCAGATGAGCAGGCCTCCAATGAAGGGGAAAGCACCAGCGTCTCTCTCACATACTCCCTCTCTCTCTCTCTCTCTCTCCATCTGCTCCCTCTGTTCATCCGTCACTCTCGGGCGTGTGTGTGTGTGTGTGTGTGTCTGTGTGTGTGTGTGTGTGTGTGTATGGGAAGGCGGTGTGTGTTATATTTCCTGAGTGTTTGTGTTGGCTTTTGAGAGTCTATCATTTCGTGTGTGTTTATTTAGGTGTGTTTAAACATACAATATATATTGTGCTCATGAGTAATCCAGAGGAAGCGATACTGCCGCAGAGCGGAGGGTTCTCGCCTCCCGCTGCGTCCGCCACTTTAAAAAAAAATAATATACAGTATATATCGTGGCAGATGTAAAGCATTCTCATACGAAGCCAAACGGTGGATTTCCTGGATCTATAGCTTTCAGCAGTGGAGGTTTGATTCCCAGCGGGGGCATCCTGAGCTGAAAATATACGCAGTCGTGCTACTGTAAGGTGCTTTGGATAAAAGTCTCCGGCATCAATGAAGCACAAAATGTGTGTGATTTTCTGTCTCTGTTGTGTTTGGGTTTTCATTTTGAGAGATTTTTTTCCTCATTATTCCACTTTCATTTGATGATGTAACGTATAAAATGATAAAGCCGCTGTTTGGATATAGAGAAGTGAAGTTTGGCATACAGGAGGTCCTCCCTCCTCCTTCACCTACAGGGTCATTACATGTGATAATGTGTTGATGCGGGGCACGGGGGCAGTATCTTTTCATCTCCCTAACTAGCCCCATTAAAAACCATTCAGCTAATGAGCCTTCACTCAGTCCTCCAGTAATTAAGGCCTACTTCTTGATCTGCATGGCGCTCTCACCGACAGGCCCTCAGCTTTCATTTAGCTCGGCTGTGACTCCATTACAGCGCGAAGCTCGCACTGACACAACATGCAGGGGAGAGCTGGGTAATTTGACCCCGCAGGGAAGTTTCCTGGGAGCCAGAGACAAATTTGATCGTGTGTTACATTTTACATGTTTTGGCAGAGTCCATTTTAATCACCATGTGATGCAAAATTTATCAAGTTTAGAAGAAAGTTTGTTGCAGTTCTAAAGTAGAAACCGTCTTTTGATTGGATCCCACCAGCTGTTCTGACCTTTGAGTCCTCAGTAGTTATTACTACATGAGTAGCCACACGCATATTCGAACTCAACCTTCATTTTGATCTCAACTACACACCTGGAAAGTTTTGTGTCTTGCAGGTTGTAGCGCTCTGAGTGGTGTGGGTGTGTCGCAGTTCCATAGATTGTCTATAAAGATGGACGTCACCCACAGGTTTCTGGAGAGCGGTTTTGAAGCTCAGAGTGAGCTGCTTCGCCGTCGCCATCTTGGCAGTGCCTGACTTCACCCCTAACTCTCGCCTGAACCATAAATTAGCAAAGAGGCTGGGGCGTGTAGAGCTGAGACTTTGGTGCATGCCGATTTTGTGGCAAGGATATACTCACCCACCTGTCACTCACAAGTGGCCACGCCCTCAATTATGCATAACTTTAACCCTTAATAAAATTTAAACAGGTGAGTTATATATAAATACACCCCCGTACAGTCGTCATGAAGGAGAAAATTATCTATACAGACCAAAACTGTTTATGTACCAGGTTGTAAAAATGTTAAAGTTGGACATTTTAACATGGGAGTCTATGGGGATTGACTCACTGTTGGAGACGGCCTCCAGTGGTCATTAGAGGAACTGCAGTTTTTGGCACTTTAGCTCCTTCTACAGTAGGTGTCTCCAGGGTCGTATTTTACCATGATCTCATGTCAAAATCGATATTAAAAAACAAAGTGACTGTGCGATTACATTGCTTTACTAATTAACCACCAGCACACAAGTAATGTGTTACATTACATTGTGCATTACTTTTGCTCTTCAACACAGCTTCATTATCATTTTAACAACTCCGCCCTGTCATATCTCCTTTGTTCAGCAGAATACCCTCGAACTATAGCAGCCGCATCACTGTTCTAAATCAATATAACAATAATTTGATGACTGTTTACTGAATGATTTGTTTTGGATCCAACGGGCATCAAGCAAAATTTCCCTTCTTCAGTCTTCATTTACATAAGAACATAAGAGGTTTTGCTGTCGGGAAAGCACCAACATATGTGGTTTGAAGTGTTTGAAATGAGTAATGTTGTCCTGTTTTCTGCTGAGGACAGTCTCGTATAATCCTCTGCTGTAGTCGACTATGCAGTCATGAAAAACAACACACTCTGCTCAGGCAAACCATCGGTGCAAATTTAATTAGCATTGTGAGTTTGGTTTTTAGTGAGCACACAGCTCATTGTGGATTATCCCCCTTTACTCTCAGAGATTACTGTCATTACTTTTCTTCAAAGATGCCTGGAGTAAAACGTTGCTCATCTCACCATCTCTCCCACACATCAGTAGAGAAATGCTACAGTTTTACCATTAACATATAGATGACTTTCCATACATGTCGCTGCACTTTTTGGGCAAACAAATCATCTGCGACGAACAGGTGATGACAAAATCACACGAAGCAGCTCAATCAAGCAAAGCAGCCACACCTGTAACACATGTTGATTAGCCGATGGCGCTGATGATCAAGGACACCGCCGCGTCTCTCATTCATTTATTTACCCCCGCTTCGCACCACCCCCCTACCCACCCCGCCTTGCTTCCCCTTTTCCCGTCAATTAAATTCACTTCACAAGTGCTTTGTTGGCGGGACCTCGGGGTGCTGTTGCCAAGGCGCTCTTGATTTAATATCTGTCATGCATAGGGAAAATTTAAGAAAAAAAAAAAAACAGGGGAAAACAACAACAACAACAACATGCCTCGAGGTTCGCATGGAGCCTCGCAGTAGGAGGGGAGGGGGGAAAGGGGGGGCATTTGTCCCCGCAGGGCAGATTAGATGTGTGCACCCAGTGGGGGCAGGAGGACACACCAGCACTCTATCGTCTGGGGGGGAGAAGACACAGCTTGAATACATAAATGAATGATCAATTTTCTCGCCTCGCGCTCGACATTTTCCTCACCCCTCTGCTGCCTCTCCGCTGTGAGTCACTCCGGATCGGAGGGAGCTGCTCTTTAACTGTTGGGCCCTCTTGACTCCTCACCGTTCGCTCTCTGTCACTGTCTCACTCTTGTTTTTCTCTCGAACTTTTCTGACTCTTGAGGGGCTCAGAGGGAAAATGGAAAAAACAGAAACTTTGGGGCCAGATGGAGGAAGATTACAGTTCGACAAAGCAGATGTCACTTTGCAAAGACACGAGAATGTCCTGTGGTCTCACATTAAAGCGAGTCCGTGTAACTTTTGAAAGTAAAAATTAAAACATTCTACTTTTCCCACAAGTGAAAAGAGGAATCCAGGAGAAATAAAACGCACCTTTGCTCACTGTCATACACTCCGGGATTTTGCTGCTGTAGCTTTATTTGGTCTGGTATGACCAGTAGCTTATGGTAGCTAAAGTAGCTAATGTTAGCAAACTTGCTACATTATCAACTTCATGACTTTTCTCCACTGTGCTACTGTTACACTGCGTTTTAGCATTTTACCACTCGGATCATAGCAGAAGCCATTTCTGGTGCTTTAAAGGAGCAATTTGTAAGTTTTGCTAACGCTACATAGCTAACGTTAGCAGCTGTTTACTTACCACACTTGAAGAAACGGAGCGAGCTCAGCATCAAGCTTCATTCCTTCACTCACCAACAGCTGACTCCAGCGATGGAAAGTAACTCCAATGTTAACTCTTTGTCACGTCTTTTCTTCTACTGAAGTTAGCATGCTAACCAGCTAGCGTCACTTTCCGATAGCAAGTCACTGTAGCCTCCACTTTGAATCATGAATCATTGGAGAAAGGTTTTCTGTAGGGAACTGTTAAAGCACTTATACAACATAGACACCAGAATGATCAATATATTCCTCTCCCTGCCTGTTGCTTTTGATCCAGAAACATCTGTCCCTCTCGTGGCTTTTCTAAAGCTTTTATTGTCTTTTCAAACAGGAAAATAAATCCAAACCAAATCTATGATACTGTAACTGACCCGTTCCCTCTTGTGTCTTTGTCTCAGGGTTCTTCATAACTACATGCTGTGGCGCATTGTGGCAGCGCTTAGCGAACACCTGTCCACCGCCTTCCGCAGCACCATCCACGAGTTTTCTCGAGAGATTGACGGCACCGAGCAGCAGCTGGAGCTGGGCAGGCTCTGCCTCACCCAGGCCAACAAACACTTTGGCATGGCCCTGGGAGCCCTGTTCGTCCAGCAGCACTTCTCCTCACAGAGCAAGGCCAAGGTATGTGTTGGACGAGGACTGACGGACGGATGAACTGAGATGGCAGATAAGAGTTTGTCCAAATTCTTTCAATGATTGAATCTAGACAGTCATCAATGATCAAATAGATAAAAAAAAAATGGATGTAGACGCTTGGCGACCAGAGAGAATGAGAGAAATTTGCAATAAAATTTCATTTGAAATAACAAAAACCAGCTCAAGTCGAAAATCCAAAACCAGTATTTATTTGAAGTCTGTTGGGTTCAGGCTGAGAAGCTTTACATTACTTTACATTAGCTGCATTGATGCAAATGAACCCACTTTTTGAGATTGAACTGTGCGTCAAGCTGTAACTGCACAGCTGTATATTTATATCATTGCAACAGTACTTACACCAAAGTGTTTGCAGTAGGAGCAATCTGTCTGCAGCTTCAGTTTGCTGCATAAAAAAAAAAATACTTGGACGGGAATCTCACTGATGTGAAACTACGCAACATTCAAAGGCAGCAAGCGGAAAATCCACTTCATATTTAACAATATTTTACAATAATTTGGAAAATAAACAGTCAAATTTGGTAGATTTCCCACAATGTCCCAGTTGCCAGGACTGTGACGGTTTTTCTGCATCTTTCTCTTCTCTGTCTTTCTTTCTTTTCGTCATTTTCTTTGGCAGTGTAGGAGGTTCCCACTGGGCTCTTTGACATGTCTGGATGATTCTGATTGATTCCTGGACTGGGATCTGGAAATATCAACCATGCCAATTATAGCTGTCTCTCGTCTCTACCTCTCACTCACTGCTTTCTTTTTTTTTTTTTTCCCCGTTGTTTCTATTTTGCTCTCTGCCTCGGTCAGTCACTTCTAATCCCCCGCCTCTGCCATGTGGTCCCCATCTCTTTCACCTCAATCCTCCCTCCATATGTATTCTTATCTGGTCTCATGTCCAATTCGAGGACATGGGGATATGGTTCCCAATGGGATTTCTAACCTTTGTAACCCCGGCCTCTTTCTGTAAGCCCTCCATCATCTGCTTTTCACCTCCGTCGTATTCTCACTGTCCACCTTACACGCTTTATCTTACTTTGAGCCGCCTTTTCTTCTTCTCTTGCAGACTTTTAAATCTCTGCAAAAGCTCAGGACTGTAAAGCGTAAAACACGTCTGATACAACTGGATAGGTTCTGGACACTACTTACTTTCTATGTACTGAGCGTAATTGAAAATTTAAATTCCCAAGCTCCTAATGTTCTGTTTAAGATTATAATTAGACACTAAAGGTACATTTCAATGATGCTTGAAGCTAGCGGAGCCTTTCTGATTAATACAAGAACATATAAGTTTGTATTATAGAGCGTCTGATGTGGGCAGGACAGAAAGTCCATGCCCACGCCCAGCGCTTCTCACTGCTCGTAGACACCAGTCCGTACAGTGTTGGCATGTCCACTCAGGTTGGAGACCTCATTATCAACACGAGAGGTTCCAGACCTGAGGCCAGCGGCGGTGTGTGTGTGTGTGTGTGTGTGTGTGTGTGTGTGTGTGTGTGTGTGTGTGTGTGTGTGGCCTTGACTGACTCACTGATGATGCTTACCTCAGCATGACTGAGAATTAATGAGTTTCAGGAGCTGAGGACCTGAGGTAGGGGAGACAGAGAGAGGGCGAAGACGAGCTCCGTTGTTATCCCGAGTCGCCGATGTGGAGGAGACGCGACATGTCCTGGTGTCTTATAAGAGAAGCATCTGTGCTTTAAGTCTGGGCAGCAGATGTTCCTCAAGTCTGTCACCAGAAAAGATATTGGACATTTGCATCATGGGTAATAAGGTGGCAGGTTTGATGATTCTGCTGCAGTGATCTTTTTTAAAAACTGCAGTAGTGAAGGAGTTTTATGACTCTGTATTGAAATTTTCTTGAATTTAAAAAAAGAAAAAGACCAAGACGGACAAAAGACAGTCTCACCAGTCACGGTTTAATTGATGGTGGTTTAGTACCTCACTCACTTTCTGACGGGTACCACGCTCGAGCCTTGTGCTGAGTTAATCATGTCACTGGTTATCACGCCACATGCAGACATCTGCAGCTTTCACGCCTTGTAGACTGCAAATCAGAGCGTCCCATTTCAGTTCCTTTCACTGGTGTTGGTGTTTTTGCGGCTGGGAAACAAACACTTTGTCCCACGTGCTTTTTTTACTTTTTTATTTTTTATTTTTTATTTTAATTGAAGCTGAAATTCAGTGATGTTTGAACACTTCCTCTTGTGGTTCGTGGTGTGTTTCAGCTGCGTGTAGGGTCAGTGGTAATTACACCATCATGAACCACAGTCCAGTGGGAAGATCCACCACTGGAGATGATGTAACAGAAAGTCGTTAGTCGGCAGTCTTCAGTTTTTCTCTGTAGCATTAAATATTTATGAATAAATAAGCAGAAATGAAAGTTTAAAAAATGAAAACTTTTGGTTTTATTTATTAAGCGTCGTTAAACTGGTTTTGTAGCTGTTGAACTGAGCTGAAACACAATGAATCTTGGGATACGTTGGAAAAAGAAGGAACGCATTTGAAGGAGGCCTTGGAAATGGGACAGAGCTTCTGATTTCGAATGTTGACCGGGTCACAGAAATATGTGACATCACACCTTTTTAAAACGGAGCCCCGCCCACTTAAAACCAGTGAGAAACGCACAGAGAAAAACTAAAAATCCGGAAATTTCTCATGTGAAATGTCCAAAACCAAGAACCAAGAAACCAGAAATATGTTTTCAGGGGTCTTTAAAACATCTTCCAATGTGATGTGATCTCCCTCCAGGTACAGGAGCTGGTGGAGGACATAAAACACTCCCTGGACCTCCGTCTGCAAGAGCTGGACTGGATGGACGAAGCCACCAAGGAGGCTGCCAGAGCAAAGGTTCAGAGTCTAACTCAGCTTGTGCGTCAGAAACACGGCTCCCTGCCAGATCCGATTAGTATTTGAAAAGGATGTAATTATTTCTTTGCGATTCCTTTCTTTTCGGGGGGTTTGATTGATTGCTCGGATAGATGGAAGTGTGTGATAGAATACATCAAGGGCTTGACATTGAGAAGTGAGGATCGCCTAATCCGGATCTCTCTGTGGTGCTGATTTAGGGTCTGCACTGCAAGATATCCCCTCTAATACTTTTACAATCTGAAGTTATAATCCTTTTAGAAGGCCATGCTGAATATAAAGAGCTTCCCTGTAATCCTATTACTTTGGGTTTGCTTGATTAGTTGATGTGTTTGTGTGTGTGTGTGTGTGTGTGTGTGTGTGTGTGTGTGTGTGTGTGTGTGTGTGTGTGTGTGTGTGTGTGCGGATAGTTGTGTGCCTTGGTTCCAAAAAACTAGAGTGTATGAGTGTTTATTAGTTACTGAAAGTGGATGTGAGGTGATGTTGGACCAGTGGTTTCTCCTCCACTTTCTCCTTCCCTCCATCATCCTCTCTTTCTCCTCCTCCTCCTCCTCCTCCTCTTCCTCCTCCTCTTCCTCCTCCTCCTCCTCCTCCCTCGCAGCTGAGGCACATGATGGTGATGACAGGATACCCAGACTTCCTGCTCAAACCTGAGCTCATAGATCAAGAATATGGGGTGAGTCATGAGCTTCCTATTTCACTCTGCGCCGTCCAGTTATCCTCACCATGCACCACCACCCACACATCATATACACCAATCCCATTTCCCTCCCTCCCTCCCTCGCTCGCTCTCTCTCTCTCTCCCTCTCTGTCTCTGTCTCGAGACTTATTTTCCGTCAGGTATTACAGTGCAGTCTGGGTGATTGTATTCAGGTGGAGAAAAAATACATCATGCACAAGGGTAAATGAACCCAATACACACTGATGAGTCTGTTCAAATAAATAATATACTTTTAAGTCTGTAGATGCACCGAGGGAGCGCATGTAAAACCTGGCAGCTCAGCTGTCAAAAAAAATACGCAATCAAGAGTGTGTTGATGGAGAACCTGTGGGGACGGCTGCATAAACAGAGGTGGATATACTTCACATCTGGGGACAACTGGGATGAGTTTTAACTTAAAAATGTGGGAGGAAAGAATGAAAGTATAAACCTGTGAACTATAAATCGATGGAGCGCATCGCAGAGGCCACGCTCAGAGAGGGAGAGCTGCGACTGCTCGTCTTAATAAAGTCCTCCTGACAGCGAGTTTATAGTGGAGCCGGTTAACATCAGTGTGAGTGGATCAGTGATTACGTTCGTTTACTCGAATACTGTTTTGAGGTACTTTACTTCGTCACTTTATACTTTCCCTCCACTACGTTTCAGAGAGGAGCTTTTGAAATCGACCGTTCACTGCTCTGTTTATTTTACGGCTATGGGCCGTAGTTACTCTGCAGATTAAGATCGTACACAAATCATGATTAACAAATAAAACATGATTTATTGTTCTACTTTAAACTACCCTGCAGTATATAAAGCAAATAAGAGAAACTCCATCAGCTGCAAGACTGAAACAGTGCTTATATATTGATACGTCAGCAGTAATAACCCTATAACACAATAATAATATATAACAAAGTGCATCACAAGGATAAAATTAAAACAAGCGACAAACACATGCAGAGAAATTACTCAAAATAAAAATATAAACATTTAAAAAATATGTGAAATATGTGAAAAAACAGATTATACATGAAACATATTCATAAAATAAAATAGACACGATATCGCTGACTGTCGAGTGGAGTCGCCCCCTGGTGTCCATTAGATAGAAAGCAGGTTTGATGCAGCTTAGGCTTCACTTTATACACAGACTGCCACATTGCATGCATGCCTGTGTGTGCATCCCTGTTCACATATGTTAATGTTACCTCAGTGGAGTATCATTTTTGGGGATATGTGTTTATTCATATTTGTGATGAACATTAGATGATAAGATCAATATCGGATCAATATGAAGCTACATCGGTGACACTGGTTTTTACTCCTGATGTTAAAAGCGCACAGACACACTGTGGAGTCAGTGACTGAGTTTCATCTCCATTTGCTACCACAGTATCAGTGGTGGGTGTATTTTTGTCTCAAACTGACAGAAGCACATCTGGCCCTGTGAGACTAAATAAGTAAAAAACAAAAAAACAAACAAGAGAGATTATGTGTTTGCTGTCAGTTTAAAGGATGTTACAAAAGCAAGTTACATTAAATTCCTCTGGCAAGTGAACAAAATCAGTTCTCAATCTGTGTACAATAAACTACTGCGGGTGCATTTTAATGTTAAGGCTCTAGCACCATAACGGGGGAGTAGACTCCACACTTACTGAATCATAAATAAGTTCTGTCACCACAGATTAACACTATTTACAATGGAACAGCTAATTAGTGGCTGACTTAATGGTTCTGTTCGCCCCACCACAAACCTCCAGTAATAAAAGATAGATAGATAGATAGATAGATAGATAGATAGATAGATGGATAGATAGATTTTGTACATCTTAAAGCTCCATATTTTCTTCTTCTTCTGTGTTTTATTTTGAAGTGTTGATCCATAAGAAGATATATTTGTGGTTTTAAGAACCAAAAACCATCTCAGTGTAGTTTTACATCTCCTCTCTCAGGCTTCTCTCTGGAGCTCTAGTAACAACAGGTCTGTGAGCCAATCAGAAGAGAGGAGGCTCTGAGCTTCTCTTCTGATTGGCTGACTGTTTTCAGAGTGATTGAATAAAAATATAGCAGATTTCAGAGCAAAAAACTCAGAGAAACCAAATCTTGCAAGGTTTGGATGGTGGGTCCGGATGTGACTGTAACTTTGTGACATCACAAAGTTACAGGAAGTCCTGACTGTTCAATTTCTGAATACAGGCTGTGTGCATTTCTCTGTGGACTGAGGCTCTGATACTTTCACAGTATTAATATAGAAGCTAGAGCTGATCTATAATCACACTACACATGGACAGAGACCTTTGCACTGGATGGGACCTTTAAACAACTGAGGCATGAGTTCCTTGAGCTTTAGAGGTCTTTTGTTTTTCAGTCTTTATGTTGACTAGATGAACCAGCTGAGTGAGGTAGCTTCACATTTAGCGGACAGACATGAGAGTGGTATCAAACTATTCTACTCTAACCGAGTAGCTGCCTAGCTGTATTTCCCAGAACCATTAATCTCTCCAACCTGACTTCATATCTGTGGCTTTTGCAGTTTGACGTGGACGAGAAGACCTACTTCAAGAACATCCTCAACAGCATCAAGTTCAACATCAAGCTGTCGGTCAAGAAGATCCACGAGGAAGTGGACAAGACGGCGTGAGTCACACCCCTCGCACTGCACGAGCTACAGTAGTCCGCCATCTCAACTCGCCGACACGTGGCGCAAAGCAATTAAAGGGGGTTAATATATTTGAAATGTCGTCTGAGCTCGTGCAGCTGAGGCTCGCGCCGGACGCTGCGGTTCCGCCACCGCGAGTGTGCGCCTCACTAATACGTCTGACATGCCTAACATGTGTCCCCGTGAATCCCTTTATAGTTTGACATATTTGCGGATGCGCCTCTAAATTAAACCAACAGATACCGAATCGACATACGCAGCTGGAGAAAATCCATTTGATTTACTTATCTATAGCAGCCAGGCGGCAGAAAAGTGCTGTGGGACATGCGCTTCATTTTTCTAAAATACAGCCCTGTATTCTGGATTGAGTGCCTCTCTGCTATGACAACACATTACAGTCACATTAGTATTCCAAGGTGCTCAAAACAACTGTATCATTAGCTCACACTCAATGCCCCCAAGAGTTAAATCACACACTCCCCCTTTTATCGCTGAAAACGTGAACCTTTCATCACTCACTCTGTCTTGTCTCTGGGAAATAAAGAAAGAAAGTATCACCACCATCACCGCCACTCTTCCTCCTCTTCCTCTTCATCATCCTCCTCCTCCTCCTCCCTGTGTTCGTCTCCCCTCCATCTCTACACAGTCCACGCGGAGCCATCGTTCTTCTGCTCCCAGAACAAGGGCATCTCACACTTTCAGAGTTTATTCATTTGGGGGGGGGCAATCGATTAGTCTGGCTTTAAGTGGATTACCATAAAGGAACTGTCCGCGGTTTCATATGCAGAGAGGAACTTTGGCCGTGGGACCACACACACTCCACGTTTCTCACCGGGGGGTTTGAAGGGACAGAGAGAGAGAGAGAGAGAGAGAGAGAGAGAGAGGTGTTTGGGATTCTGCTCAGGAGTGTGTTTCAAGTAGATAGATTGGTGATTTAAGTGTGTGTGTGTGTGTGTGTGTGTGTGTGTGTGTGTGTGAGGCATCTCATCTTTAATACTCTTGTTTGTTTGACACCATCTTTCTCCTCAGGTGGCTTCTCCCCCCTCAGGCCCTTAACGCCTACTACCTCCCCAACAAGAACCAAATGGGTGAGTCTTCATGTTACATACTGATATTTCTGTTCTCTGTGTCATCTATCTCCACACACACACACACACACACACACACTCAGTCCTTCCATTATTGCCATTCTGCACCACGACGTGGGTCACACATTAGTTACAGGCAGTTACACCATGTCGCCGCCTGTTTTCCACAAGTCAAACGCCACGAACCGCTGAGCAGAAAAAAAAAAACCAGCGTCCACTTCCTCATATCATATTCCCTCAGATCGCTCACTCTCTACTTCAATCTCCACCTCACATACTTAACAACCCCCTAGAGGAAAAACAAGCAGTAACACCTTCCTGAGTTTTAACAAATCCAGCCCTGCGATGTCGCCCCCTCCCTCCGTCTCTCTGCTCATCCTCTCCCAGGCTTGGCCCGCTGTAGGTGTCTGCTGGATTAAATCTCTCACTGAAAAATCAATGGAGTGCTCGCGAACTGATGCTAGAGGACAGGAGGAGTCAGACAAACTCAGTCATCAGTGCCCCTTGGATCATTTTTTTTGCACACATCATTTCTCTCACTTAGCCCAGCCGCTTCAGCTCTCACCTCTTTTTTCCCCCCTAATGTATTCATTTTTGTAGTCTCATTTTTTCTTTAATCAAATTAACATTTCCCGCTTAAATTGTAATCCCATCTTCTTTATTTCACGTCCAGAATCAGGTTTTGTTTGAAAATAAAAAAAGACAAGGACAGAAGTTTAATTACAAGTTGCTCCCAGGATGGATCTTTCTCTCTTCACGAGGAGCTGATAGAGTCGGAGAATCACTTCAGTTGACCAACATTGCAACTATCATGTATTTTTATGACCATTTAATTTGTCAGTTAATATTTTTGTAGATTTGTCTACAGCCATGCTAGCATCTGTGTGACGCAGTGCTTACCTAAATGCTAACGTCAGCATATTATTAACAGGTTAATGATTAACAGACAAAGTTTGAGGCCATCTTAGTTTAGCGTGTTAGCATGCTACCATTTGCTAATTAGACAAAGTACAGCTAAGGCTGATGGGTAGTATTTGGCCATGAACCAAAATATAGGACAAATGGAAGATTGTCAACCAGGCGACGGCGCTAACCAGTTTCCAGAGCCCAGAGCGACGTCTGCGAATGTCTTACAGTCCAAAACCCAAAGATATTTCATTGGCGATAATATGAAGCACAAAAAAAGAAAAAAGGTTAGAAGCAGAAACTTAATGAACTTCTTTGTATTTTGCCACTTCACTGAACTCACGTTAAACTTAAAGTCCTGCGTTTTACCCGATGAGATTAAATGTTCATGATTAAATAAGCAACAAACAAAGTTCAGTTTACTCGTCACAAGCAGTTCCTCTCGGCCCGGGAACGCAGCTGTATCGTGTCTCCTGTAGCTCTGGAGGAGCTGAATAACCCTGATCATCATCCTGTGAACTGCATGTATTACTACTACTACTAATAATATTAATAATTTATTTAACAAATAAAAACTGCTGCTTCGTCAGGACTGTGTGGCAGTGGGTTGATCGGTACTGAGTGACTGCGGTCTGGTTGTAGTGAGAGGCTGAAACAGGGTCTCACACTCTGACTCCATGTGCGTTGCGACCCTCAGGCCTTCTTCAACAGCAGATCAACAGCGGTGTGAGTCGCTCACCGGGGCGCGGCCTAGATAACGGCGCCTGTGTCTGTTGCTATGGCTGATCTTGAAGACGGCCTGAAGGTCGCAACGTCGTCTGTCGTAATAAAAAAATTAAAACGCACGTGGAGCCACAGAGATATTTCAGACTGCTGTGTGTGTGTGTTGTCGGTCCAGTCTTCATTTTGCTGTCAGATTATGTGTAATGCAAGTAAGGCACCTTAACCCCCGGGCTAACTCAGGCCTAAGACCAGTGTTACCATGGTAACAATCAGTGACGCCTGCGCTGACCAGTAGCGCCCCTCAAGAAAAAAACATTTTATGGAGAGAGCATGAACATGTTGAATTCTTCCAAAAGACAAACATTTTCCTCTGAGGGTAAACGGATGTGATTCCTCAGTCGGCCATTTTTATTATTATTATTATTTATTTCAAAAAACGTCTTAATTTACCCAGAATTCATTGTACATCTATCTGAAGTCTGACTTTTTGTCATGTCTAAGACACAGTCACAGTCTGTCTTTTCTACCCTCAACACAAGAAAACAACCCAGCGACTCTCATCAGATTTACATTCAAATATTTGTGCCGTTGTCACTGGTTCGAAGTGGGCGGGGCATTGTGTGTTTTCCACAGCTCATAGTAAGATTCAGAGAGACCTGATCAATCAATCAGCTGACGTCCTGTAGGACTGACAGCAGTAAGGGGGTAACAGGAAATAACTGTTTATGAATTTTAAAGAAGTTCATGTTGATTTCAATAATCTAAATGTCTGGATGAGGTTAAGAGGTTTATCCATCATTGATAAATCCAGTTGTGTTTAGGAGACTGATTTGTGATTTGCTCTCTCGCTGTCGTCTGCAGCAGCTGCACAAAGTATTTATTTTACATAAACATCCTACAGAAACCAGAGTGTTGTGTTCAAGCGAGCCGCAGGCTGTAGGAGAATGTGAACATTTCCACTTCCCCTCATGTTGTTTCTGCGTCTCTCTTCCAGTCTTTCCTGCTGGCATCCTTCAGCCCACTCTCTACAACCCTGAGTTCCCGCAGTAAGTAGCCTTCCTCCTGTTCCTGCCTCTCCTTACTGCCGTCCGTAGGGAGGCAACAACATCTCCACAGCCACAATAACAAAGGCCATTTAAGGTTATGTTACCCCGGCTAGGCCCCGCTCCCCTTAAGTCCCAACACACCTGATTAAACCAATTTAACTACCCACCAAGAGCTCAATTACCGAACAAGGTCCTGCTAATGGAACAGGTGTCATTGAGAGGTTGCCTCCCTAAATTTCAGTCCATTGACTCGTTTGACGATGCATGAAAGAAGATGGCTTCCCTGTCCGTCTCTTCTGTTTATCTCAGTTGTTTCTGATGAAACTATTCACAACTTAAGATATTTATATATTTTTTTAAATATCTGAATAAAGAACGTAAATTATTTCTTCTTCAGTTGTGTATTTTAGACAGAAGCTTGTTGCATTTTTAACTGTAGTTCTGACACAAACAGGGTTCATTGCCGGCGGTAAAAATTTTGCTGATATTTACTTTTTTTTTATGACGGAGCAGAGGATCTTTAAAAATGCATCATCTTTATGTTAAACAGGAACCAAGTCCACATTATGCCTCATGTGTTTTATTCCCGTACAAACATTCACTTGGACTCAAAGGAGGAACAGATTAGAGAGCAGTGGTCAAAGGTCAAAGGTCAAAGGTCAAAGGTCACCGTAACCTCACAAAACACGATCACAATCACAAGCTCTGTAAAAGAAGAATATGTGGCAGAGCTGTTGTACTGGATGACATTAGACTGTATACTGTAGGTGTACCTAATAAAGTGGCCACTGTTTTTCTGTTCATGGTGGAAAAGCCTTTGAATTAACATTTCAGTCAATTTACTATTAGGCAGTAAAGGTCTCCCGTCAAATCCAAAATAATCAAAAACTTCTGATCTGTGCTGATACCAAAACTACGCTTCATTCTGAGGATATAAACGTGTTTCTTAATTCAAACAAACTATTTTATTTTATTTAACAATGACGCCAAGCAAGAACTGAGCCTGAATAAAAATGAATCTAAAAATGTCAGCTGTCAATACTTAACAACTTTCTACACTGTGTATATACTATCTACACATTTCAATACTCACATAGCCATCAGTATATAACAAGAACAACAAACTAATGATCACAATAAGCTTTACTAATATATCTGTGTGTAGAAACTGATCAAAACGTCTAAAATACGGATGTTCAGGCCTCCCATAGACAGCCACTGTAACTTTATATATTACCATGGTACAAAATTGAAGAAAAAGGCCAATGCAACTTTTGAAATAAGAAATAACACATTCTTCCACTTTCAAATTAAAAGTTGAACTTGCCCAGTTCAGCACACTGGGGGCTTTCTGTTTTGCCGCTGCAGCCTGACGTGGTCTGGTATGAAGAAGACTGTAACGGCTCATGTCGGCTCTCCACCTGCCAATACAGTTCAGCCTGTCACCTACAAACCTTTCGGTGGTTTAAGAGAAGGAAAACTCAGTGTACCTCCACATCAGGAGACATGTTTGTTGTTTGCTGCTCTTCTCAGTCATCTTTAAAGCGCCCCCCCCCCCCCCCGCTCAAGAGAATACTTTGGGAAATGAAAGGAAATTAAATTTACCATTATCCTGTAATTACCAATCGAGCCATAGTCTCACTTCAATTCAGTTTTACATGTTTTAGCTCATTAATTAGAAACTGACTTAGAATTTATGTTCAGCAGCTGCGTATAATTTATATTACTCCAGGCTATTTATCGTAGAATACTATACGTTTATAGATTGACTCTCTACCTTCCAGGCCGACGCTGTTTTCCATTTATTCAGTCAGTCCAGTGTGAAAATCCACTTGAGACTTGATGCAGGAAGGTAATAGATCACATTTATGTTTCGTTGTGTGTTACCAACGAAAGGAAATGTATGTGAGTGTTTTCAGTTATCAGAAGACAACATACGAACATGTGCATTGTAAAAAAAAAAAACAACTAACTAACTAATTTCTTCAACACATCAACAGAGAAAACTTTTAGAGTAAAATAAATTAATTTTTCTGTGTGATGGAAAACTTGTCAGAAGAAAGTTTGTTGCAAGAAAATGGTCAGTGAAAGAGCAGTGCACTGCAGCACTGAGGAATATGCAGGTTTCCTCTCAACATACCCTTTGTTAACCAAAGCTATTCACTGAGGAGCAAACCTACTGCTGCCAGTACTGAGTATTATTTTAAATCAATACACACAATACAGTCCAAGTAGCTGCACCTGCTGCATTCATAGCAACTCAGCAACTCCCCTTAGCAAAAACACACACACACACAGACACACACACACACACCTCCTCACAAATATGAGATAATTAGACTGAGCAGCTTGTGTATTCAACATTAGCTACCACTTCTGTGTCTTCATTAGAGGTGATCAGAAGTACTGCCACTACCTGCTGCCATGCATGTTAATCAATATTAATTAATGATTGGATTAAAGGAAGCGTGTGTGTGTGTGTGTGTGTGTGTGTGTGTGTACCTGTCCCCTTGAAGTTATTACTGCAGTAGCCCTAACCTCCCATAAACTCCCACTCTCTTGCTCCCTCTCTCTCTCTCTCTCTCTCTCTCTCTCACACACACACACACACACACACACACACACACACATACACCTCCACTATCACGTCGAGTATAATGAAGCTTCAATCAGCCAGTTAGTTTAGCGAGGGAGTCGGGCCCAGTGTGAAGCAGCGTATCGACTAGCTGTCAGAAAGTCATTTTCAGACGTAGCCATGTGAATAGCCCCGAGCCTGCCCTCTCATCGCTCTCTATATCTGCATGTGCGGCAAAGACAGCGCTCTGGATCGGCCCACGGTCAAGGAGAGGTGGAGCGACCCACAGTTTTGTTGGGTTTTTTTTTTTGGGGGGGGGGGGTTTCTTGGGGGAGCAGGGAGGTGGACACATGCAGGCTGTGGGCATGTAGAACAGATGATGTGATATTTTCCAATCAGCGTGAATGGGGGAATATGTGGCATTGAGCTGCTTCTTATTCGATACCAATCTGAATCTGCACGGATCTGAAATTAGATCCCGAGTGCCACTTGTATTTTATCAGGCTTCGCTGAGCAGAATTAGCAATGAGGACACTGGGACAATGCAAGGGAAAGGAAGCCAAAGTGATGCAATGAGATACAGTACCACAATCAGTCAAAAGGCATGTGGTTTAGTTGTAAAGTCAGTGGATATCGAGATCTAACTTTGGGTATCTGTGAGATGAAGTAATGCAAACACAGTTACATGTAGTATTTACTTTGTGATTAGTTATTACTATGTTAAAAAAAAAAAATCTCCAGTTTAATAATAAATGAGGAGCTCTCGAGATGTTTACAACATGCTTTAGATATTCAGAGAGTAATTTGACATTTTGGGCAACTTGTTTTTTCACTTTCTCTCTGAGAATTACGTGAACAGATTGATACTAGACTCAAAGTATGTCTGTGAAATATGAAGCTACAGCCACCAGCTGCTTAGCTTAGCTTAAACAGCCTGTTTGTTTGAGCCATACAAAAAAAAATAAATCAAAAGCCAGGCTAACCTACCCCCTTCTTCCAATGTTGATGCTAAGCTAACTAAACTGGGTCAAGTTTTATACATGTATGTAACTGGCAGATGTGAGAGCAGAGTCACTATTTTCATCTCATTTTTCACAAAAAGGCAAATTAGCTTGACACTGTGTAATTTTTGCTACACAATGACCACTGTTGCTACACGAGGCAATTAAAGGACAGTGGTTAATGCTAAAACATAGCGCAGTAGCACATGTAGAGTTAGCTAATTACAGAGTCTGCAAACTGACTCACTAATAACAATTACACAGCAAACTCTTTGTAAGTCTTGCTAATACTAACTAACATTAGCCATCACACACCAGTGGTCATACCAGAGCAAAGAAGACTGTTAAAGGACAGTTGTTAATGCTAAAACATAGCACAGTAGCACAAGTAGAGTTAGCTAGTTACAGAGTCAGCAAACTGACTGTTATATCTATGTAAGTCTTGCTAATACTAGCTAACATTAGCCATCACACGCTAGTGGTCATACCAGACCAAAGAAGGCCATAGCAGCAACACTCCTGAGTGTTTTCATGATGAATGAAATGAACATGTTGTCTTCTTTTAAAATGTCATAGTTTTGTTTTAAGTTAAGCAAATTCAAGACTTTTTAAAACACCTGTAGATACCAAGAAAGTGTCAGTTTTGTCTAATGGTTGCATATTTCTCCTCCCTGCTGCCAGGTCTCTGAACTACGGAGGAATAGGAGCTATCATCGGCCACGAGCTAACGCATGGATATGATGACTGGGGTAAGTATGGCCGCTCATCCTAAACCACTCTTTGCACATCATCCATTGCAACTTATAGGCTACATCCCCCAGTTTTCACCATTTTGAGTTGTGTACCCACGTAATTGCATTAAACCATCCTATTTCACAGAAAGAGCAAGGGTTCCCTGATGATTTGTGTAATTTAATGACATTTGTAGGAAGCCACAATCTCTAACTTTCATTTCCAGTCAAAAGTGCTGCTCTTTAAGAGACATCAGAAGCTTTTAATTAAAGTGTGACTCCTGCCAGTCGCTCACTAAAATAACTTTGAATGTGACTTGTAGGTTTGTGCACTACCGGCTTTTTTGCCAGAGACACAGCCATTTTTTTTAATTATGCAAATTTAGTTGAAAAGTTGCTCCATTGGCTCATGAATTGGAAACATCAGCCAAGGTCAAACCTGGATCTTATACCTTTTTTTTTTTTTTTTTTTTTTTGCGCCCTAACGGTTTTGACTCCAAAAAGTGTAAAAGATGACGTGCTGGGCAGCTCTTTGGACTGTGAAGAGAAGTTGCAGGTTGTGTTGTCTCCATGCTAACACCCCTGCCCTTTTGCCCCTCATCTTAGTGATGCAATGGTTCATGTCCATAGGGGGCCAGTACGACCGCCACGGCAACCTCAAACAGTGGTGGACAGAGGAGTCCTACAGGAAGTTCCAAAAGAAAGCCGAATGTATCGTCAAGCTCTACGATAACTTCACTGTTTATAACCAGAGAGTGGGTTTGCACACACACACACACACACACACACACACACACACACACTCTCTTACTTGCACATATGATTTTTAACTGAATTACCTTGATGATGTTGTCGGGGTTATTTTCACGGATCTATCTCGGATTTGTGTTTGAAGATTACGAATTTATAACAGGAAGTCGCATTACATCACAAACAGCGAGGTCCAACAGTCTGGGGGGGGGGGGGGGCTCCAACAGAAGATGAGTTGTACCATGGGAAATGCAGGATCCAAAAGTCAAGAGTATCTCAGTTTCTGCTGCTTCTGTTTTTATTCTGTATCAACCAACCAGCCGGCTTTAAAGAAGTTCAGTAGTAAATCACTGGAGTTCACTTTTGATAGATTCATTGGAGAGTTTTATGGCCTGGTGGTATTTCGGCAGCTTTACCACCCAGGTAAAAACTAAATATTCATAATGTTCTTTGCACTTAAATGATCAGATGTGAAAGCGTAGCTAGCAGGTGGATCGTTCAGAGGAGGCTTGCTATTTCTTGTTTGTTATGCTATGACCGAAGTAAACCCTTGAAGAACATGTACACACCAGCACAAAAGCATAAGCTCGGAGCTGTTTCCTCGCAGCGTTTCAGAGGTTTCCTTTCTGTGTGTCTAGGTGAACGGTCGTCTGACACTCGGGGAGAACATAGCAGACATGGGAGGGCTGAAGCTGTCATACTATGTAAGTAATAACTGATAACATCATTATGTAGCTCCACAAAACCTAAACATTAGAGTTTATCCTATCAGTACATTCTGTCTCCAAAATCTGCCTCTCTGTTCTTCATAACCGCTCTGCTTTATTTGTGTGAAAGGTAAAAGATAAAAGATAAACATTTAACGTGTGTGTGTGTGTGTGTGTGTGTGTTTGTCTGGACAGCGGAGCATCTGGGATGCTGCATAATTCAGTCGCATATTGATTGTGTCAGTGGTCTACTGTATATTGAAGAAAGGAGTGGGGAAACAAAAGTACAAAGGGAATAAATGAACGCTTTTAAATAACTCATAGCATCAAAGTGCAACAGTCGGGATGATTGTTAGTCGTGTTAATCAGATTGGCTGAAGTCATTTTCATGGATTTCTTCAAAGGGGAGATTGTAAAGCGGCAGGATGTGCTCCATTTCAGATCTAAAGTTAAGAGAACATGAGGTGAGGGATCATAATTTCATCAATAATGTGTGTCTCCTGTCTCTGTCTGTCCAGGCGTATCAGAAGTGGGTGAGGGAACATGGTCCAGAGAGGCCCCTGCCTGGGCTCAAATACACCCACGAACAGCTGCTCTTCATCGCCTTTGCACAGGTACAGGACCCCCCCCCCACCCCCCACCCCCCCAACGATTGATTCACACTACTGGCTTTCATTACGTTTATATGTTGGATCGTTTCAGCGGCCGCTCTCAGTTGGAGTGACTGATCACAGAGAGCAGGTAGGAGTTATATATTAGCCCAACATTAGCTGATGGATGCATCAGCCACTGGAGGGACTGTTGATGACAGTGCAGTGTCTCTAAGCACCAGACCACCCCTGCTCCTTGTAACTATTACGACTCATCATTGAAATTCAATGGTTTCATTGAAATTCATGGCTTAATGTAACAGCGGCAGAATCCAGACGCACTTTTTTAATGTAGTTTGAATGTTTTTATCCATTTTTTTTTTTTTTTTAAACTCTTGCCACAGGGAGGTGACGTGAAAATCACATATATGTGTTTACATTCATTTCCAAGGTTCACTTTTCAATGTCGAATGAAAAGCAGCATTTCAGCGTCTGAAGAAGTTCACATAAATCACAGCAGGCTAACAGTCACGCTCTCTGAACTTCAGGTGACGAATAGACAACGTTTCTTCTAACTTATCATCGAGGAGTAAATGTTGATGATGTAATGGCTGTAGGATAATGACATCATCAGCGTTTCGATTGGTTCCCTACAAGCGTCACCAAATTTCAAGTCAAGGCTTAATTTACAGGAGGTAGCACACAGGAAGTGCGTCTACCGCTGCGCAGCCAAAACAGGAAGGAGACGGTGCTTTTGTTTTCCCGGGTTGAGCTCGGTAGCTTTCCCCAGGCAGCGCAAACGGCGGTCGGTGGAACAACCACAGTAACTATGGAAACTCTATCCGGAAAAAGAAAAAAAGAAGAGCCCTGATGTTGGAGGAGCAAAAGAAGGCGAAGAGGGAGAGAGATAGAAACTGAGGTGAAACAAGAGTGAACCTCATTCACTAGATGGAGAGGACCATTATTACCTTATCTGCTAGGATCGGCTTTATGGATTATTTATTACTGTCCACCGATGTGGCGGCGCACCAGGCTCCGAAGCTCCAAACCGACATTCAGCTGACATTATTTCTACTAGATACAACCAGGTGTTTTACTGCCTTTATCCGTCTCTAAGTTCAGAGTTTCTGCTTCATATTGGGGGATTCTTTCAGTTGCTTCTCGCTGTGTGCAGTGAGCCAGGCTGACGGCGGCAGCCATGTTGGCGGGAGCGGTGCTGGAACGTATTTAAAATTAAGTAAAAGGTAAAAGGAAAAGGAAAATGAGCCACGGCTGACATATCCTTATTTATTACATTGATAAATAGTGAGTACTGGTTTCCACCACTGGGAGCGAGACTGTCCCATCTCACTCGGGGGGGTGTTAACGCCGTGTCTTTTCAGAACTGGTGTATGAAGAGAAGATCTCAGTCCATCTACCTGCAGCTGCTGACTGACAAACACGCGCCAGAGCACTACAGGTACAGTGTCCACACATGAATTTATGCACGTTGCTTTTGCATTTTAAGAATAATCTACAATTCCAATGTAAAAAAAACCAAAAAAAACACTGCTAAACTACTGCAGCTGGAGTGCTCCCATTTCCTTAGAAATAAATTAATTAACACTACATTCGATTTATCACATAACTGCAATCATTTGTACAAAACACACACACACACACACACACAAAGAGGCACAAATGTTTTTATACATTACTACACTGGATGTCCCCCCTCCCCCCACCTCCCCCTCCCTGTAGAGTGATCGGCAGCGTTTCCCAGTTTGACGAGTTCGCCCGTGTGTTCCACTGTCCGAAGGGTTCTCCCATGAACCCTGTGGACAAATGCTCCGTATGGTGACCTCTCCGCCGCGGCCTGGTGACCTCGGGATGACCTTCATCTTCACAGCCTCCACCCACCCACCCACCTGCGCACACTACCTGTCCTACATCATGCATTCGTCAGATGCTACAGGATGCTACACGGAGCCTATTGTTGCCTGTAAAGGACACAGGGAGGTTCACGTCTTCACTTAGGAAAGTTTATACAACTGCTCATCGTCTGTACTAATCAAACTAAAGCATGGGTCACATGACCATTGATCATGTACATAAATATCATTTGATTACATATATTTTTCTATGTTGAAATTTATTTTCAGATCATCTATTTTTGTATTTTAGCGTATATATCACATACATTATGCGTAGGATTCATAAGCTATTTGGTTTTTAATTAAGCAGCGTGTTTCCTCACTCGTCTCTCCTCTGTGTAGCATCATCTAGAAAAACTTCAGCATATCAGAACGGCACCAACAGTGATTTCAGTCCCTAATGTAAACTGGACAAGGACCAATTTCAATTGAACCGGGATCAGCAGGATTCCTCGTGCCTGCCAAGAAAACATTGGTGTTCTTTCACTTTGGGTATTGAGAGTTTAATTTGTGTCGCAGTGGCGCCCTCTTGTGGCCGCAGAGAGCAATGGTCACTGTTCAGCCGTGATGACTGTTGTGTCGTTTGCCTGCACTGGTCTCTTGTTACTGTGAGTGTTTGTACGGTTTTTTAAGATTTGTCAACTTTTTTTAAGGAAGAAAAAAAGAAAAAGAAAAAAGGAAAAAGAAGGTGGACTCATGGTGGAAGTTTCTTCTCAGGATTTGTAGCAAAGTGCAGCGACAAACAGGAGATCTTTGTGTCTCTGTCTACATTCAACTCGTGAGGTCCTCAGTGCGGTCACGTAAACGGCTTGGTATCTCTATCAGTCATGGGATGACAGATGAGAACTCACTGCATGGACGAGCTGATGCCAAAAACCCTCTCTACTGGAAATGGAAGAAGCTCCGCTGTTGGATTATTCGCATCTCTTGTGTTCGACACGTGGACACGCTCTCGAGACGACCCGGGAATCGAGACGGGAGGGAGAGCGTGAGGTCACGTCATATATTCACAGTTAACTCTCCACATGATAAAGTGCAACTGCGGTACATGAAGAATCATACATTTCTACACAAGTGTTATTTAAAAAAAAAAAAAAAAAAATTTAAAAATTACTTTTGTATAAAGAATCTGTTGGTACAAAAAAAGAATCTTTGTACAGTGGAGAAGTATATACAAGATGTTATGGTTGTACAGTTTGTTTTGATGAGAGTGCATGTCTCCTCTCTGGCCAACGAACAATTATGATCGCTGTATATGGAGGACAACACACACACACGCACGCGCACACACGCACACGCAAACACAAACACACACACACTCGTCTGACGCTGCAGCTGCTAGTTCACACGTGGCTCCTATCTCTTCCTCTCTGTTGGTCACTGTTTAATGTTTGAATAAATACAAAGGGATCACTGTGCTCAGGTGTGTGTGTGTGTGTGTGTGTGTGTGTGTGTGTGTGTGTGTGTGTGTGTGTGTGTGTGTGTGTGTGTGTGTGTGTGTGTGTGTGTTGTTGGTCATTATCGGTGTGGATGTGTTTTCAGCTGTGCCCTCACAGGCCTGGGTCCTTCAGTGATGAGAGCCAGCGCTCTCTTGGCGTCCCAGTGTTGGATGGGGGACGTCCACCTCTCCCACTCCGCGTCCCGTTTGTTTGAAACCTGAAGCAGAAATCAGATGACAAATTTAAAATACAACAACAAGCTCTCTCTATCTCTCTCCTTTCTTTTCTTTTTTTTTTTTTTTTCTTTGTTTTTGTTTTAAAAAATAATTTCTCCAATTAAACCAGTTTCAATCAATCTGCCAGAGTGGAGCAGTTCTTTCCAGAGTCTCAGTGAAGCTTCCTCTGCTGCTGCTTCTTGTTTACATCTTATTTAGTTTAAAGTGTCTTTACAGTATTTCAGATATAAATTCAACATTTTTTCATTTTTTTCAAATGAACAGCAATTAAAACAAAGCTAATACATGATTTTGACCCATGGCAGTAGCCACATAATATTTCATGTCTATTTAAAGAGTGTTATCACAGTCTGGCAGCTGTTACGTCACATACAAACCAAGCCACACAATCCAGCTGATGTTCCGCGAGACTGGTCGTTATTTTTCTTCCCCTGAAATACATAACGTGGCCGTTTGCTAATTGACAAGATACACAGACTGTGCTCATTAATCCACGATGAAATGATGAAGCAGCAACTAACTGAGGAGAGTTCACGGCTGTTGAAGGTTCTTTTCCTTTTTTTTTTTCCTGTCAGTGCTTTTGTTTGATTTTTTTTGCTGTAATATTTGATATTATGGAGAGTTAGAGTAAGTTTTTCCTGCTATCTTCAGGTTCAGTTTGTTTCGGTTGTTAATGGAGTTGATGAATGAAAGGTGACTGTCTGCTGGAGCTTCCTGTGGAGATAGTTGTGCACTAGGTGTTTCAGAAGAATCCACTTCTCTCTCTGTGTGAATCATTTTTGATCTTTCTGGATGCACAGAAAACATGTCTGCAGACTAATCCTGCTGTAATGACCTGTTCAGTCTGCTGGAGTGAAGCGACCTCACCGCAGCTGCAGCGCTCAAACAGATATAACGCAGAATATTTCAGCTAATGTCAGTTGTCAGTGGTTCAGTGCATCATCATCTTCTTCATAAACAATGTTTTGAAAGCTTCGTTTGTCTTTTTCCTGAAGCTAAAAACCAAAATGTCAGCTCTTCAGAAAGCTCGCTGACGTTGCATTTTTCAGTTTACAGTCTTAAAAAAAAAAAGCCCAAAAGAAATGACATTTTCTAAACTCACTGATGGAAACAAAGTCATCCATCAAAAGCCACAACTCGTCAGAATATATTACTCATTTTGAGCATAAACAAACAATCTGAGTCAGGTGCCTTTGACTGAGAACATCAGGTCTGAAGGGATTTAGATATTGTAAATAGAGAAAACCTGACCAGCTTTAAATTCTGGTTTCTGGAACATTTATTTAAAAAGAACCAACAGAAAGACGAGATAAGAGAACAGGATAAATAGACAAACCTATTTTGGATAAATGATATTGGCAAAAAAAAAAAGTTCAGATGTGGAAAAAAGAAGCAGAATGAAACAGTTTCAGGAAACTCACCTGTCTGGAGTTCACCGCCAGTCTGCTCGTTCTCATGCTGGTTCCTGATGCTCTCCTCTAACCTCTGATGATACACCGGCAAAAACAGTCACCCATTAGGCCAGAAAGAAACTGAAGTTTAAGAATATCTCTGTACTCTGATTTAACGAGATGGGCTTTTTGAGGGCAATAAAAGCCTCAGTATCATAATAAATATTTTAATTTAATGCTATCAAAAGCTGTTATTTTGTGCTAATATCAACAGCCTCTAAGACGAACTGGTAGATAATTAAAAGATAATTAGAGCAAAAGTCTGAGGCTTCTCCTGAGCTGTAATCTTGTTAAATTGGAGAAGACTGAAACTAAATTTTGATCATTATGGGAAACTGCGAGTCTTTACTGAAGCACATTAAATCATTTTAAGCGTCATAACTCAACAGTAGTTAATGACAGAAGGAAAAATGTGTAATTCTTCACAAGCTTTTACAACCTGCTTCTTCAACATCTACGTCATTACTGAGTGTGCGGTGAAAGTGAGGCTGCCTCAGCTGGCTCCTCTGCTCTCTGACACAAGCTCTCTGTTTGGACGCCTCTGCGGTTCAGACACCTGCTGCTGGAGCACCTCATTGGCCTTGGACAGGTCACCTGACCCGACCTGGTTGGTGAATCCTTAACTGTCATTTTTAGCATGGAAAGGAAACAGGGAATTCACACACACACACAAAAAAGAAGATAAACATGAGGCACAGGATGCAAGAAGAGAGCTAGTCTGATTTTTTAAATTAATTTACATGGATGAATCATTGGCTAATTAATTCTGAGGAATAAATGCAGTAAACAAACAGAAAAAGAAAAAAAAACTTGTGATAAGGAGTCTGGCAGCCTCTGCTGTTTTGTGCACTGCATCAAAGAAGAACAGCACAGTCAGAGGTAAGGATTGTCAATAGGGATTATGTATATCCATACATATTTACACACTCCAGGAAATCTCTCAGCAGTTTTTGGCTGCTTCTTCCAGCTCTTACTTTAGTCCTATTTGGACGTCTTTCCCCAAGAAGTTTGACATTGACATGCTGTTTAATCAGGGACTTCACAGGATCATATAATTTGCAGCGAAATATTTTGCACGTGCACAGAATTTATAGCTGATCTCAGAGGCAATTTCTTAAGATAGAAAAAAGAACAATAAAAAATGTGTGCAGTTTGGTGCCTCTGAGTGTGTCCTCATGCTACGTTCAGAGTTGTTGCTTTACAGCTCCCAGCTCTGGGATCGCGAGCCTCACACAGCTCTTTATCTCTGCCATGTGCAGAGATAGCACTCAAAGATATCATTAATACACACGTTCATCCTCTTATTTTTCTGCACCAGATGCTTTGAGGATGGAGCACTATATTATAATCACGGATTGTGCATTTAAAAGGAGAATCCAACTCTTTTTTATTCAATTCAGTTTTATTTGTATATTATATATTATTATAGAGAGAAACCCAACAGCTCCCACAAAGGCCGAGCACTTGGCGACAGGATGATTGAATGAATTGACATTTCTTATTCCTGTGCCCCAGAACAGATTGGTGAATATTTGAACCTTAAAATGTGCAATGTCATCCCGGTTTGCTCTGTAACAATGAATGGGGCTCTGATGCTGTGAGGCCTTAAAATGTTTGTCTAATTTGTCACACCAAAATGAGTGTTTTATATTTTAAACCTTATGTCCAATTTAAAATCTGGATGAGACCTGACATTTGAAAGTTTATACTTCCAGAGTCTGTTTTTCTACTGTATTAGTTCATCATTAGCACTTATTAGCTCTTAATGTGGGGGGTTCAATTAAAAAGTGCATTCAACATTTGCATTTGTCACTTATTTATTTAATTGATATTTTAATGAATTACACAACTATTGACATAGAACAAAGTCAGTGCCGTTGTGTTGTCTGTGGAGGATTTGGGGATTCTGTGATCTCTAGCTTTAAGACAGATTATACAGACTTAACTATACTTAGGCACAGGAATAACACGTGACATTTAAACCTTTTATTTAGTTAACATTACTCTCAATTGAATGAACTTTATGTTTATGAATGTTGTGATTATTATTTCCTAGTATCTTGAACTTCTTGCACAGCGGCTGTTGGACTCTTACCTTCACTTCCCGCCGCAGTTCATGGCTTTTAGCTGCAGCTTATGAATTTTGAACGTTTCTTTATGGATTTTGTGTCACTTGCAGCTGGACTTCATGTTTGCTGGTTCACTCTTTCCTTTCCTGTGTGTCCATGAGACAAAGCGGGAAAACTACTCACAACAACGGAAGGGGACACTGCTCTCTTGCTGTGATTGGGCAGTTTTGGCGCCATTTGGGGTGTAAAATACAGACGTCAAACAACATGATGGCGTCAGTGAACCAGTCTTGGCTCGATGTGCAGTCCACTGTCAGTCAGTAAAGTACTCGGATCTCCTCCTCTTCATCACGTCGGTCTCCAGGAACCCTCGTCCTCGTACAGCTTGTTTGCAGAAGAAATCAACTACCCGGTACCGGAGGTAAGTCCGACAGCGTCGGGGCTCTTATTTGATTGTGAAGGTGGTTGACTTGTACGGTAAAAGCACAGTTTAAAACAATGAATTGAATGGAACTGAAACATTGATTGTGCGGGAAGAGCGTTATTCAGCACAAAGTTGAGACGCTGAATAAATTGAACTGAGTGTTTGTTGTTGCTGGTTGTGTACGTTCAGGCTGGTCGTTTTTTTCTGAACGTACACCGACCCAGGATCTGCCGATGAAGGCAACAGATTCACCTGCCCTCTGACTGGACTCCGCTTTGAGATTGGACTGGATACTACTACTACTAAATTAACTATTTAAAGGAGGTATTTGCCACCAAACAGTGTCAGATAGAATTAGGAACAGGGTGAAATAAAGCTTAAACAGCTGAAAGAAAATGCAGTCTGGCACAAATGACACAAAGATCCAGTGGTATGCAGTGAATTAAATGGAAATATACAAGCGTCCTGATCCATTAAGACCTTGAATGATTTTAAGATAAAGGAATTTCACATCTTAACAAAAACTGTGCAAGGGTTTTGTTTGAATTTGACATACTACATGTTCACATGTAGAGACAATGACAGAGATCATCCACAAGGTGGAGGCAGAGATAGAACCAGATAGATCTATTACAGAATTTGAAAAAAATGCTTTTTTTCCCCATGATACTATTAGCTGGCCTTTAACTTTCTCAAATTTTGGGTTATTTCTGGGGCAATTATGATCTCGCCGAGTCATAGGAACAACGGCATTAGAAAAGTAAACTGTGGAACCGTCGATGTGGGGAACATGGATGTA